GAGGAGCCGCATACCCTAAATGTGAAACAAGCAGTATATTCAAAAATGTAAATTTACACCCAATTTTCTTCTGCTCTTGTCATGTCATAGCAGACCCATTTACAATGGCAAAATCAAAGTGTACTGCTTTGGAGAGCACAAGGATGCTTGTGATCAGGCGTTCTATAAATCAGGTTGCATCCCAAGACAGACAACGGGCTTCTATAAGGAATTTCACCCAATGTGAACATTGTGGACAATCACACACACTGTCTGTTTGCAGAGTTATAAAAAGATACAAATTCTATTGCTCACATCGACAGAAAGTCATTTTGGACCTCTTTAAAGTATACACTGCAATGAGGAAGGCTTAATTAAGACGAACTCCCTTCAATTCAAGTGAGACAGGATAACCGGAACGATATGCAAATCTTGCAAGTTGGGGAGCTTCTGACCAATACAAGGAAGAGGAGAGGAAAAGGTGAACAGAGCTAGGCACTAAAATATCCGAGTATCCTTTAGGAAAGAAATCAGCCAGTCCCAGGGGAATGCAGGAAAGGGAGCTCTCTGCCTTGCACAAACAATGCCACAGTGTTGAATGTGAACCTTTGGCACCAAGCTTCTAAAAAACCTTGCTAATGTCTACCAAAGCTTCACATCTGTCAGTGCCAAGGTCTCCATCAGTTGGATTTTGCGCTCTCATTTAAAGCAGTTTGCAAAACTGTTGATGTTGATCCACCAAGGCAGCTTACACAGTCCCCAAGCAAAACTAAAACAAAAACCCCATACCCTAGTAAATAATAGAACCAAGCATAAGTAGTATTAGCTTGCTTGTGGAAACTGTTTATTGACTGACAAGAGGGAAGAGTGAAGGCCACACAACTAATTATCCCAATCAAGCTTGCTGAGACCCTGGCATTTGGATTGCCATGAATGATACATACTTCCTGATTGATACAAGCAGTGCTTTTGCAGTCTAAGAATGAAATGGTGGACTTCCCAGACTGTCTGAATTTGCAAGTCACACCTTTCAAGCTGGCATGCCACAAAGTTCAAATCCTTTTATTTCCACCATTGTAGACTGAGAACAATGGGAACAAGATCTCCCTAAGGTTCTTCTTCTGCAGTCTAAGCCAAGAACGCCATGTAAATGGGTCGTGTCACTGCAAAATGCAGCAATAAATGCCTCCAATCAAAATAAAGAAACAAACCAGTATAATTCCATTAATTGTTCCAAATGAAAGTTGACAGCAGTTAATGTAGCATGAAGGTTAAAAAAATCATTTTCATAAAATACAAGAGCAACCAATTTTACCATTGAGTAAAAGTAAAAATTGGGATTTTCTTTTTAAATTAGTCCAAAATGGCATTATAGAAACTCAGTAGATTGCTGCTGTACTGACACTATGACAAATCAGTAGGGTTTGCTTCTTTTTTTTCTTTTCTCTTTTTTTTTAAACCTGGTGTTCTGGATAAAGTTCTGGAAATACTCCAATTCTAAGGCAGGGATCTGTTTTGTTTTCCATCGTGAGTTTTCTCCTTGGGTTGGATGCTGGAGGGGTGAGGCACGTTTTGCCAGACCCAGGTCGACTACCTAGTAGTCATCAAGGTCAAAAAATTCATCGTCTCCTCCTTGGTATTCCATTCCCTGGAAGTCTACTCGGTACCGCAAGATACCTTTGGAAATAAAGATTGAAAAGAAGACATTACAAACACTTGCCATTAATAGAAAAACCACTTATGCCTTATGTGTATGCATTTCCTTTCCACAGATACTTCAACAAACATCTGAATTCTTCAAAAAGCCAAGGCCATGGGAAGAAGCAGTAGGGCCAGCCTGCACAGACAAGCAGTGGTCACAGTCTAATGTGATGAGAGCATCAAGTCATATTGTAGAGATGATCAAGCATATTCATGTGTGGTAGAAGGAAGCCGTATAAAGGAATTACTGTAGTATATGTCTGTACCTACTAACAATAATGTAATCCCTCTTTTCTAGACTAGTTGCCCGCCAGTGTCTTGTGAAGTTACTAAAGTCAGACCTCCATCGATCAGGCAGACAATAATCTCTGAAATGTTCATGGATGCACCAGAGGAGAGATTTCTCCCCACTTTTGGATCACTTCCTGTGTATAATGAAATGTCTATATCTGATTTATCCCACTTCATTCAATGTTTTCTATACCTGTTCCTCTACACCAGTGTTCTCAACCTGTGGGTCCCCAGGTGTTTTGGCCTACAACTCCCAGAAATCCCAGCCAGTTTACCAGCTGTTAGGATTTCTAGGACTTGAAAGCCAAAACATCTGGGGACCCACAAGCTGATAACCATTGCTCTACACACAAGTGGATAATACATGACAGGAGTACAGGAATATATTTCTACCCCAGAACCGACTTGAGACCCAACAAAAAAGTCATAAATAAATATTCAAAGGATGCTGAGTTTTTACATTGGTAGGAGTATATGTATTAACTGCAGACATGATTTTCTTATTCATGATAAATGCATTTCTAAGATGTGGAATATAGGAAAGAGGTGACTGAAAAATATTTCAGGAAATGAAATCACTCGATATATGAATCAAATGATAGAACAAACGAATTGTGGGTGTTTTTCTCTATATTACACAAGAAGAGTAATGGGTTCCAGTAAAATGCTTCTCTTGGTAATATTACGCAACATAAGGTGAACCATTTTATAAAACTATACCATAGTTCCTTCCATGTGAATGAAATATCAATTGTATTACCAGGCCTAGTACATTAAAAGAGAACTTTAAAGACAACTGCACAATGTTCAATATTTTGCAACGATAAAGATCCATGCATCTGATAGGTGAGCTTTTTTTGGAGGAGAGGGAGAGACAAGCTACAAATGAATGTTGTTGCACAATGGTGATCATGCTCTGTGTTCAGTTTCTAATATCACGTGCTTCCTGTCCTTTTGGACTAAGTTTTCCCCTTCCACCACACGAGTTACGAATACACTGCCATTTCCTGTTTCCATTTACCTCCGATTCCTCCAAATCCTTTCACAAACTGGGATCCTTCCTGTGACTTGTCTGTCACAATTTCCAACGTGGCTCCAAACTTCTTGTAGTTGTTAGCAAACCATTCAAGCAGAGGCATGCTTTCTATAAGTTCATGTTCCTGTCCAGTCTAAAGAAGATGAATTGGAGGGGGGGGGGGGGGTAAGGAATTGTATATTCAGTATTCAAATAATAATTTAATACCCTAGATTTCATTTTGATTCTACTAGAAACAGGAATGTTTTGCAGAAACTTGAGAGGAGGAGACCAAATAAAGGCATTATTCATAGATAATCAACATGATCTTTCTTTCTTCTCCTGAGTGATGAAAGGAGCACAACCACGCTTTTGGATGCTTCTCCCAGAACCTTGCAGAGAAAGATAGGATGTAGATTTAAAACAACTCTCAGGATTCCTGAACACCAGCCATATTCAAAGCTGGGAACACTCATTTTGATATACTGTGTTGCTTTTTTTTTCCAATCCAAGATTATAGTATTCATAATAAAAAACTTAATTTTCCCTTATGATCCCTCAGGCTGCTAGTCCTTTTCTAACTGCCAATTTTCTGAGAGGAATATCTGTTTTTCTTTTCTTTTCTTTAAAATTAGTCAGCATTTTAGGGACCACAATGGATTTCTCCTCATTTTTTCTCTAGTACTCAACTGACCACCATAAAGCTGTCAGGAGATGTCATCTTGAAGACACAGCAGCAGGACCTTGGCATGGGCAAAGACTGCAGAGGGAAGTAGCACTAGAAGTGTTTCTGCTTTCCCTAACCCTAAACTCATCCCAAGGACATTGCTCTCGTTTTGTGCCATGGCCTACTGAAGCAGGAAAGAGGAACAGAAGCTTTCCTTCTGAACTGCATTGTTGCCAGCCAAAAGAATCATGTGGTCACATAAGCATATGAAATGCTGAAAGAATGTGGATACATATCTCATGTAAAAATGCCTCTGTGGTCTCCTGTTTCTGAACCACATCTGCTGCCGAATCATAGACTGACTACAGCTTTCACCATGGCAGCATTAAATAATACCTTTGATATTATATACTCTACAAATTGAATCTTTTATGCTCTACAAATGAATGCTTTGTGTTACCTAACAGGACTAAAAACTAATACTGGAGCAAATCACTCAACAGTTAGATACCTCCCATGCAACATTTTGGATCACTATATTTTTTTTTCATGAATGCATATTTATGAACAGATTTTTAACACAACTTGATTTGTTTAGTAGAGCTTTAGGGATTGATCAGGAAATCTTGCTGTTTTCAGAAAATTGCTATGCTTGTTCCATTCTGCACAAAACACCAACCAGAACAAACCCAGGTAAAAATATTAGCACCTAGCAGACAGAACTGCTGTTCCCTACATAATGGAGATCTAACCAGATTTCCAATGTATTTGTAATATTTGTGCATTGCATTAAGTAACATTGGGCTGGATCTATACATATAATCCGGATTATCAAAGCACATTATCTACATTATCTGCTTTGAATTGGATTATATGAATCTACACTCCATGTAATCCAATTCAAATCAGATAATTTGGATTTTATATGGCAGTGTAGATCCAGTCTTAATTATTCAATCCTTTTCTCAGAGTCAATCTGAGAAACTAAGTAGACAGTGAATTTCTCCAGGTCACCAAGGTTATTTCACGAATAATGAATGAAAGTGTGTTCCTAAATATATAAAATACCTCTTTATCTGTGAAGTGGGATTTATCTTTTTCTTGTTCTGGTGTCAAATAGAGAATCTTCTCCTCTGCAGGAAATGGAGGGAAAATAAACAAAGCATGAGAAGCACAACAGTACAATTCTCCAAATGCAATTGGATTATCTGGTGAAAAGCCAAACATTGCCAGCACAGAAGATTAGAAATGGTTGCATTATATAATCTAATAATATTCTTTAATGTAGAGTTCTGAACAAGTGGATCACTCATTTTGACACCAACTAATTTTTTCATTCTCTTCTAGGTTGTTCATGGAAGAGCTACTGTAAAATGGTGGCAATTACACCTTTTCTAGAAAAAATGGATCAATCAGTTTTAACTGAGTCTTGAAGAGTACTTTTTAAATTGCACTTGAACTGGCTGTTGGTTGCAAGATAATGATCTCTTCTAGATACCAATGTCAACAATGGTACATGTGATTCTTCACTACAAAAATGAAACATGTCTCACACATAGGAACTAGAATGAATGCAGCACTATAGCACGTGAGAAGTAAAGAGTTCACACTTTATATGTGTTTGTTGTTGGGTGCTTTTTAAGTCATTCCTGACATTATAGGATTTTGTAAGCAAAATCTGTTCAGAAGTTATATGTTTTTGATGTTATCTGAGGTTGAGAGAATGTAACTTGCTGAAGGCCACTCAGTGGGTTTCCATGGTTCAGTAGGAATTCAAACCATGATATAAGGGGTCATAGTCCAATGCTGAAACCAATACACCATACTGGTTCCATTCAGCAAATTCGATTTTTTTTCCATGTTAGGAGAGATTTGAGATACTGCAAGTCATTTTCTGGTGTAAATAAATTTGAATAAATGCACAATTATCATTCATGATTAAGCTTTAATCATAAACGATACATGTTTATTCATTCAACATTTGTCATCTTGTATTCACAGTAAAAATGTATCAAAAAGGTATACAGGCTTATATGTATAAACCAATTCTTTAGATAGCCATGTCCCCATCCCATAAATAATTGTATGGAAAAACTAGTACCAAAACATCGCATTTGTGACCTTATAGATTTCTACAAATGCCATCAGCAATTGAACATCTAAGACCCAAACCAGTTGCGGAGTGATTTATGTCAATGCAAACAAATATGATACTTCAATTCCAAATATCTGTGCCAGGGGAAACAACATACCTTCTGTGCCTTGGCAATGGAGAACATATCTCATTATATCCAGGTTCTCATAAACTATCAGGATCTCTACAGCTCCCATTTCTAAGGCCTTTAAAGTGTCTTCAACACCAAAACAGTACTTTCCTGTGTCCTGACTGATTTCATCAAAGTATCGGCCTACATTCAGTGCAAATCAGAGAGAAGGAAATAAACATGCAAGTTTCAACACAAATGCTACTTAACTTAGTCAAGATGATACTGTTGTTACATGAGAGCAAAGCTGACCTAGATTCAACATTGCACCATCACTTTAGCACCAGTGTAACAGGACTTTTTTCCCTTCCCTTCACTGTGGCAGCTCTTAGAATGTGAGGTTTTCCAATCTCTATCATGAGGGGTTTTGGATATATAGAAGACTGCAGAGGGAAAATTTTGCCTTCTTTTGATACGGCTAATGAAAGTTGCTCCATTAGTGAATACCAAACACTCCCCATGGATTTAGGTCACTCTTGGTTAGATTCAGGAAAATTGAGATGAATCACCCTGGGAGCTGGCTCCCTCGCCCTGGCAGTTTCAGTTATCATATCTACACACAGCCAGTTAGAGGCAAGACTCTGACGAGTCCCCGGATTATCTAACTAAATTCCTGGTGTGCCAGGCTCCCTTTTACTGGCATCCGATTCAGGCTACCATGAGCATGCATTTTATAAGCAATATGAAGCATGTGGATTATGATTCTCACCAGCATTTGAGTGACCAAATCTAAAAAGATTTGAGTGACCAAATCTAAAAAGCAGCCAAAGGCGGACATTAAAAAGCAATATCCCGTGTGCCTGTAAAATAGGCGGTTTTCCAAGTTTCATCACTTCCAAGAATCTGCCCCAAAATTACTCAGCTCATTTGGATAAAGATCCAAATGACTAAGTTGTACAACTGTAGTTTCTTTCCTGTTAAACACACATGGTAACCAGCCAAAACAGTGGTGATTGTAATTATGCTCAAAGCATTCTGCAGGACCAACACACGATAAGCAAATAATCCAAGGAAATTTATCCACAATTCTAGAAGGTTAAGCATGCAATAGAAGTAACATTAGAACAGGCTCGTGTAGCATCAAGTGGGTAATTGTCAGCTTCGAGCAGACTATGCATATATCTAGGCACAGCCAGCCTTCCACATTCTCCGGGGTTAGAAGTGCAGCACCCCAATGAAAGTGAAACAACATAAATAAAAAACCAGTTTTAATCTGACAGAAGACCTCTCTAAGAATCTCCAGGTCCTCCAGCATGTCTCTATGGTCAGCTTCAAGTGCATGTTGACCCCAGTATTGCACTGGAGGGAGCCAGAGATTCCTAGAGAGAATATTTTAATCAACTCTGTCAATAATCACATCCACTAATGTGGAGGGTTGGCTTAATTTCAAAAAAGTGCATAAACAGTAAAAATGGTAACCCACTACCACTATTAATTATAATAAGACCTAATAAATATCCTAAGATATAGCTGCTTGTATTTCAGATAAGTAGTAGGATATGATACAAACACTAGCTTATGGGCTGTATTTTATTTTGTGAAAAGATATTTCCTGCACCCTAGAAACTATATTTGTACAAAATATGGATGATACATTTATCATGCACAAAGAATGCAAAAATGGGGTGTTTTATTCATACCTATTAGTTTCTTTTCTTGAATGAATTTCACATTAGATAGGACCTCAGTGGACAATTCAATTGCTTGGTTGAATCCATTTTCACCACCATAGGAGATGTCAACTAGCTTTAGTACTTTGGATTGCAACCGCTATAAATAAAAACATGTCTAGTTAGAAGAGCTCTTATATAATCAAATATTATTAATTCCCTGAAAAAAAATGCACCCCACTGTTGACAACGGCCACTCTGGGACCAGAGTAAAGAAGGGAGCCGAGAAGACAGTTCTATCTTGTCTCCTGTGACATCAGAGCCCCTCCCCCAGCAACAATATAATATTATATAATACTAATATTATGAATGATGTATTAGTACTATGCTAATAATAGAGTATGTTGTATGTACATATGACTTGTAAGGGTGAGATGGGCGGCAAATAATTGTCGTAAATAAATAAACAATAGATAAGATGCACATGAAGTAATGATACAATTAATGACAACACAGATAGACCCTTTTGATGAAAAGCAATTAAAATATATCTGGATGACCAATACACCTGGTGCTTCAGTTTTAAAAAGGTGAAATCCCACCTTATAATGAATGAATATCATGTTGTATGTTATATAATGAGGACTTTCAAACTCTTTTACTATTCAAACATAAAATATATTAGTAATATTTAGTGAAAAGACCAGAACCTAAGTGGAGGTCATCCAAGTGATGGCTAGGTATGAGACTTCAATGTCAGGACAACTCCTTCAACTTTGGATTTCTGCCATGTGCTTTACATTGAGCTACCTCCATACCAAGTTTGGAAATTCCAATGAGTTTAAAACATGGCAGACAGATTAGTCACAAGATCATCCAGGAATGAATGTATTGCACCCATATAAAAGTCACTCCACTGGCCGCTAATTAGTTTCCGGGCAAAGTACAAAGTGTTGGTACCTTTAAAGCCCTACATGGTTTCGTTCCAGGTTACCTAACGGATCGCCTTCTCCCGTACAATCCGCCCTGAATACTTAGGTCCTCTGGGGGGTGGTTACTCCAACCAGCCAGAACCCAACTTGTGACAGTCATCCAGCCACCCTAAAATTGTGGAATGACCTGCTGGAAGAACTCCAACAGCTAAAGGGGCTGTCAGAATTTAAGACACAACAGACGACATATTTCTTCTGGCAGGCCTACCCAGCCAATTTTAATCATGAGTTTTAAATTCATATTCTATGTTTATTGTATTTTGATCTTTGTTCTGTGTATTTTAATATGTGTATTTTATAGAAATATATTTTAATACCTTTATTTACTCGAGTCTAGTGTGCCATTGAATCTAATGTGCACCTCAGTTTTCAAAACCCTGAAACCAAAAGTGTTTGCTGTCAAGTGTAATGTGCAGTGGCAAAATTTTATTATTTATTTACATTATTTCTATCCCGCCCATATCAGCCCGGAGGAGATAGTTTGCCAAAAAGGTGCGCATTACAGTGGCTGCCTAATTATTATTCCTTCTTTTTTAAAAGTGTTAGAACCCCAAAACTTCCAGCGATTGAAAAGAAAACCTTGGGATGCATCTATGCTGTAGAATTAATCCACTTTAATTGCCTTGGTTCAATGCTATGGAATCCTGGGGTTTGAGGTTTGACAAAGGGGCCCTTCCAGACAGGCCCTTTATCCCAGGATCTGATCCCAGGTTTTCTGCTTTAAACCGGATTATACAAGTCTGCACTGCCAGATGATTTGGGATAAATGGAAAATCTGGGATCAGATCCTGGGATAAAGGGCCTGTCTGAAAGGGCCCAAGATTTTGAGCCTTCTCTGCCAAAAAATGCAGATGCCTTACTAGACTACATATCTCAGGATTGCATAGCACTGAGTCCTGGCATTTAATTACAGATGACATACCTCAAAAAGGAGCTCCAGCTGCTACTGAATCAGCTTCCCCTTTTGATTTGGCTCAGCTCTAAGATTATGCATTATATGATTCTAATGCGCACCCCAATTTTGGCAAGGTAATATACCTAAAAAAGGTGAGCATTGGATTCAAGTAAATATGGTACATGTTTTCAATGATTGTATATTATGATGCATTTAAGCTGTGTTGTTCCCTGCCTTGAGCCATAAGGAGAGGTGGGTAATAAATAAAAATGTGTCACTCACCTGATCAAACATGTCTGACTGGCTTAGTTCAGTTTTGAAGTCAGCTGATCCAGCTAACACAAGACCAGCCACGTTCACTTTGTCACCAGAAACAAATAGCTGTACAGCCGTTTCTGCTACTTTCCTTACATAGTTGTGCCGCTTCTCCATTCTCAAACGAGCAAAACGCAAGGCAGATTGACCTCCTCTTCCTTTGAAAGACAGAATGAAATGGAACAAAAAATGGGTTTTCATCCTTGACTAGCCATTCCCACCCTACATCTCCAATTCACGTATTTAGATTCACATGCATCATTCAAGGCAGAATGTAATTTCTGATTCAAAACCAATTATGGCTGCATGAAGCCATCACAAACAAGGGTTATTATGTAAAACTAAGCATATTTAGTGATCATCTCAGATTTTATTGATGCAAGTTGCAGGACTGTTTAAAACCAAACTATCTAATCCAGAGAAAGATTAAACACTAAAACAGAATTACAAATCACATCCCACAGCATTTTTTTCTTTTCTGAAGTGACACACTGATTTATTCCATTTTGATACTGTACCGTGTTTCTTTGGGAGATCCACTGTGAATTTGTGCAGTACTTCTCTGGTGTTTCCTTGAAGAGTTCCAAAGAGCGCACCACTACCATCTATTACAATAAAGCCAAACTTGCTGTCATCTGACAGTAATGCTGTAAGGGCCTAAAAATCAAAACAGCAGAAGTAAATGTAAAGCAAAGTCAGAAAATTCAACACTTCAGAGAAATCGATACAATGAATCCAGCTGGAAGAATAAATTCATCTATTTTAGGCTCAGCATTGAGAATCTCACTTCATACTCATAAAAAAGAAAACTGGATTCATTTATGGAATTTTTGAAATTAATGTCACTATAATATTTTAAGGTGTGGATATTTCTTTTAACAGGCACCAGTCCTTTTAAGCTTGATAGAAAGGAGCGCTGCCAAACCGGTTCAGATTATAAGGTTGTATAAGCTAGGTAAGAGGAAATCATTAGAAGCCAGCTTGTTCAGCACTCTATTAAAAGAACACCTCAATTAAATGTTCTGTGAAT